ATGTATGTATGTATGTATGTATGTATGTATGTATGTATGTATGTATGTACGTATGCATGCCCCCCTCGCCTTCTTCAAAAGAAGATGGTTCTGCATCAGTTTCCTAGACTCGGCCGAGAGCAGACCGAGCACCGAGGGAGAGGGGGGGCATTCCTTTCTTTCTGCAAAAGGGGGCTATCCTCCCTCCTCGAAAATATTACGCAGTGGCGTGCTCCTGGCTGTCACGTCCTCCCACAAGCCGTTCCAAACCCAGACCTTTGTCCAGACTCTGCCAAAATTCCAGTCCGGCTCTTCACCACGACTCTCATGGTCCCTCCCTGCTGGCCGGCTTTGTGGAGCTGGCTGTTGTGTGGCCTCGGTGCCGCACACCCCATTCTTATGAGTAAAAAGGGTGGGGTGGGGGGTGGGGAGGGGGAAGGCCAGGGAAGCAGAAGCTGCCCACCCGCCCAAAGCCCTCTGCGGTGGGGCGGGGGGCTTCCCTCTCCAGCCAAGCAGGGGAGACGAACTCAGAAACTGAAGCCAAAGGAAGAACCAGAACCAGCTGGATAAAAAGTCCTTGAGAGAGAGAGAAAGGGCTAAACGTTTGGAAACAGGGAAAAATAGGCTTCAAGGAAGCCAGGAGGTTTAAGGGGGGGGGGGGGGCTGGCCTGCTACAGGGAAGCCCCTCAAAATTTGCAAATTCAAAACAAGCAAAAAGTCCCACCTTAACAAGTACACAGAATCACAGAGTCGGAAGGGACCTCAGAGGTCTTCTAGTCCAACCCTCAAGCAGGAGACCCTACTACGCCCTTCCATAGAAACGTTATTCTTTTGCACCTCTGGCTTTGTACAAACCCTGCAACCCAGAGCAAAGGAGCCAGTTTGGGACGGCTTTGGAAGAGAAGCAACGGCCTTCCTCAAACATTATCCAATGTTTGAGGCCTTCAAGGGGTCGCAGTTTCCCCCTCACCCATCATCCCCTGATTTTCTTTCCGCAACATAAAAAGGCTTCACTTCTCTGTCTCCCTCGCCATCACTGCCGGGTGGTTGTTAAGGCCCCTCCGCAGCGACCTTGGACCACTTCCTCTGAAGCTTGCACACCATTTCGAGTATCTTTTGATGTGGTGGTGCAGTTGCTTCCAGTATTGTTTTTTCAAACGACACACATGAACCCAGCATGGATGTCAGAGTCACCTAGAAGAAAACCGTCAACTCTCCTCGGAGCTGCAGGGCTGACGGCCCTCTTTCAATTTAAACCTGGCCATCCCTGACTTCAGAGCAACGGCCTGTCAAGTTGGACTTCAGATGCTCAGACCTTCCCGAAACAGGCAGAGGTTTGTCTCAAATCTTTGCTGTTCTCCAACAAAGGTGACAGAGCTCCGCCATTAAGCACCCAGCTAAGTACTTGAGTCAAAAGACACCCCCTTTCCCGACCTTCTCCTGCAATGACAGGCTTGGCATCATTTAAAGTAAAAATAAAACAAAAGGGAAAAACCCAGCAATTCTGAGTTTTAAACAAACAGCCTCCAAGCCAACACAATGGAGGTGTTAAACTCATTTAAGCTCAGCCTCCTGCTGACCTAAACATCCCTGATTCTTTCGTTCTTTCGTTCTTTCTTTCCTTTTCTTCTCTCTCTCTCTCTCTCTCTCGCCCATCTCCCTCAAAACAGGGCTCCATATAATATAACCAACCAAGGAAACAACACATACAGATTAACATTAGAATTGAAAGTTCAATTAAGGCTAATTTTTTTTAAAAAAATAGGCTTCTCTCTCCCTAACCAAAAACCCCCTAACTCAGAAAAGGATAAAACACAAAAGTAAAAAAGAAAAAATTGATCTGTTTGCAACGAGATGGGCTACAAATTAATTTTGTAATTGAATAAATAAGAAGGGTAAAAGTCAGCATCTCTAATTGTGCCGTCACAGTGTAAAAATACCGGAGTGTGTAGTAGCACCTTTTCACACGAATCAACCTTGTTTTATTGGTCGGTGCAAACATTTGCTTTGTGCCTCAGGTTTCCGCCTGCTGTTTGCCAGCTCCGTTCTTCTGGCAAATGTTTCCAACTTAAGAAGCCAAAAGTGGGGATGCAGTTGGGGATCCTGACGGAGACCCCCTCGCTTGCCAGATCCTTTGAATCTGACCCCCAGTCCAGAACAACGAGGACTTTCCAGGGCTAGAGGCAAACTTTACACCAACTTTAATCGTGGGTGGGGGTTTTTTGTGTGTGTGTGTGTGAGGCTTCCCAGACCAAGCACCCCCACCCCCACCCCCGGCACCCCTCGACAAGCGAGCTATGAGGACCGACTGTCTTCTGCAATTTTTCGTTTTGGAGATACAGGAGGATGACCCGACCAACTATGTTGTGAAGCGGGCGAAGTTCACAGAAGGGCCGGGACGAACCGGGACTTTCCCAGGGAAGGGACAGTGGCAGGGAGGCTCCCCCAAAGTCCGGCCCTTCCCCAGCAGCGCAACCCGGATCTGCCGCGCCTCAAGGCTGGCAGAACAGAGGCGGCGGCAGCGGCGGCGGAGCGCTCGGCTCCCTTTGCCGCTTTTTCCTTCTCGCCCTCTGAGTCCTCCTCCTCCTCCTCCTCCTCCTCCTCCTCTTCCCCCTCCACGCTTCTCCTTCTCAGCTTCCATCCTTCTCATCCTTCTCCTTCTGCTCCTCTTTCTTGAATCGCTCCCTTTCTATCCCTTGTCCTTCTCTTCCTTTTTCCCCTTCCCCTCTTCTTCCATCACCCCTTCTTTCAATCCTTCTCTTCTTCATCACTCCTCCTCATCGCTCCTTCTCCTCTCTACCCCTCCCCCCCACCCTCCATCCAGCCGGCTCCGCTCTGGCTCCGGCCGGCGCCTGGTCCAGGGTCCTGAAAGCGGAGCCGCTTCCCCTGCTGCTTCCTCCGGACGCCCGCGGCCCCGACGCCCGGAGGCCTCCCGCCCCCTGGAAGCCGCGCCGGCTCACCTTCCCTTCCGAAGCCATGGCTCTGCTCTGGGCGCTGCGGCTCGTGGAGGCGGCGGCGGCGGCGGCGAGGGGGACGCTCCTTGGCGCTGGCGGGGCTGGCGGAGGCGGCGGCGGCTTCCCGGCTGCTCCGAGCGAAGCGGCGAGCGGCGAGACCGGCGTCTGGGGCCCGGCAGCGGCTTAAAAGGCGATTGGCCGGCGGTGGAGGTGTGGCGGGGGCGGGGGGAAGGTGGGGATGACGCGGCGCTGACGTCACCCCGGCGGGGAGGGCTCTCGGGCCCTGCGGGAGGCGCGGGGGGGGGGGGGCGCGCCTGCCCCCCCCCCCGGATCGTCCCGCGCGCCTCCCCCCTCACCCCGCGGCGTTGGACCCGGGTCGCAACTCTGGAGGTGCAGGGTCGGTGCGCAGAGTGGCTCGAGGGCTTCCGACTCCCAGAATTCCCCACCCAGCTGAGCTCCGGTTTGGTCCCTGCCATCCCGCTCTCCAGAGTGGAGAGATCGGGGAGGAAGGGGGTGCATTGTGGCTGGGGGATTCTGGGAAGTGAAGTCCCCAAGACTGAAAAGTTGCCTCCTCCTGCCTGCCTCCCCCCAATCCTCTCATGGGGGAAGAGCTCACTCCTCCTCCCTCCCCCGCCTGAAGCTGCTCCTGGCTAACCCCTCTGCCCTTCTGCAGTAAACCAGGGTCCCAAAGGATCTGAGCCCCCCTCACCCCCCCACCCCCACCCCTGATCCACAAGCGCTCCCACGTTGCCAACCAAGCCACAATCCTGGGTTCATACTAGGACACCTTTCTAAAAAATCCTGGCTTCACCTGAAACCCAGAGGTGGAGAATTAAAACAACAACAACAGGACCGGCACCTGCCTTGCAGAGGGGGACACCCAGCCTGGCCTCCTTTGCGGGATCCGCGTTCACAAAGCAGGCACCCACCGTTTCCCAACAGTGGGGCTAACGTGACTAATGACAACTAGGAATTTGTGCTGGTGAATAATCACAATTCTTGAAATCTCTTTAGGGCTGCTCCAGCTGGGGTGGGGGGGGGCTGCTTCCTCCTCCTTCTGGGCACCCGGGAGGGTCACGCAGTTCCTATCACAACTTTCTTGTCTTGGGCCCTGTTGTAAAACCGCTGCTCTTCCTGGTTCTGGGTGGGTTTTTTCCCTTCTTCTTAAAACTTTCCGATATCGCTCGGCAAACCCCGTCCGCCTAGCAGTTACCTTCCAGCCATGTCAACAAGCAAGCTCTCCCCTCTTCAAAAGGGTCTGCACTGGACAGTCTC